TCCTGGACTGTAACCTGGGGTCTTCCCAGCGGACTTCCCTCCACCCATCCCAGCTCTGCCTTTTGGGGGCTTCAAGTCTCTCACATTTTTTTTTTTTTTTTTTTGAGATGGAGTCTCGCACTGTCACCCAGGCTGGGGTGCAGTGGCTGGATCTCAGCTCACTGCAAGCTCCGCCTCCCGGGTTTACGCCATTCTCCTGCCTCAGCCTCCCGAGTAGCTGGGACTACAGGCGCCCGCCACCTCGCCCGGCTAGTTTTTTGTATTTTTTAGTAGAGACGGGGTTTCACCGTGTTAGCAAGGATGGTCTTGATCTTCTGACCTCGTGATCCACCCGTCTCAGCCTCCCAAAGTGCTGGGATTACAGGCTTGAGCCACCGCACCCAGCCGTCACATTATTATTATTTAATAATTTCAACTTTTAGGCCGGGCTGTATTCCCAGCACTTTGGGAGGCCGAGGTGGGTGGATCACTTGATGTCAGGAGTTCGAGACCAGCCTGGCCAACATAGGGAAACCCCATCTCTACTAAAAATAGAAACATTAGCTGGGCATGGTGGCGGGCACCTGTAATCCCAGCTACTTAGGAGGCTGAGGCAGGAGAATCGCTTGGACATGGGAGGCGGAGGCCGCAGTGAGCCGAGATCTCACCACTGCACTCCAATCTGGGTGACAGTGAGACTCTGTCTCAAAAACAATAATAATTTTAACTTTATTTTAGATTCTGGGGGTACATGTGCAGGTTTGTTACAAAGGGATATTGCATGATGCTGAGATTCGGGGTACAATTGATCTCATCACCCAGGTAGTGAGCATAGCACCCAATAAGTAGTTTTTCAACCTCTCCTTTTCCCCTCTCTCCCTGCTTTTGGAGGCCTTGGTGTCTGTCATTCCCATCTTTATGTCCATGAGTACCCAACGTTTAGCTCCCCTTTTAAGTGAGAACATTTGATATTTGGTTTTCTGTTTCTATGTTAATTTGCATAGGATAATGACCTCCAGCTACTTCCATGTTGCCGCAAAGGACATGATTTGGTTCTTTTTTATGGCTGCATAATATTCCATGGTGTGCATGTAGCACATTTTCTTTATCCATTCTACCGTTGATGGGCACCTGGGTTCAATCTATGTCTTTGCCATTGTGAATAGTGCTGCAGTGAACAGACGCGTCTCTCACTTTATTAAGGGAAGTTGACTTTTTGAACTCAAAGGATGGACATGTGGGACATTTCTCTTCCTCGCAAGTGTCTGTGTTTTTGGCTGCTGAGAGAGGCATCTGGGCTCCTGTTCCCATTGCTCCCTGCGTTGCAGGGTGACCAACCATCCTAGGTGGCCTGAGACTGAGGGGTTTCCCAGGAGACGGAACTTTCTGTGCTAAACCCAGGAATGTCGAGTTGGGCCTGGTTGGCTGTGTGTCAGCTCTGCATGTGAGCAGCTGGTCTGTTCCCTGAGTCCCTGTGAATGTGGGAAGTGTGGTCTTCCTGCCACATGGTGACAGCAAGGACACCAGCAAAGTTGGAGACAGACAACCTTCTTCCCCCCGTGCACTGGCTGAGGCCTGGGGCAAGTGCCTTTCTCGTCTCTAAAACAGAGTGATGCTAGAGGAAGGACAGTAGCTCATGCGGGCCAATGCTGCCATCAGAATTTTTACTTTTTTTTTTTCAATGGAGTGTTGCTGTGTTGCCCAGGCTGGAGTGCAATGGCGCCATCTCGGCTCACTGCAACCTCTGCCTCCTGGGTTCCAGCGATTCTCCTGCCTCAGCCTCCCAAGTAACTGGGATTACAGGCACGCACGCTACCACGTCCAGCTAATTTTTGTATTTTTAGTAGTGTTGGGGTTTCATCATGTTGTCCAGGCTGGTCTCAAACTCCTGAGCTCAAGTGATCTGCCCACTTCACCCTCTCAAAGTGCTAGGATTACAGCCGTGAGCCGCTATGCACAGCCATGCTATCAGAATTTTTATTTTTTATTTAAAAGACAGGGTCTTGCTCTGTCACCCAGGCTGGAGTGCAGTGTTGCCGTCATAGCTCAGTCCAGCCTCGAGCTCCTTGTCTCAAGCAGTCCTCCCGCCTCGGCCTCCCATAGTGCCGGGACTATAAGCGTGAGCCACTGTACCCGGCCTCTGCCTTCATTTTCTGTTTAGAACCATTCCCACTTTACAAATGAAAAATCTCAAGGTTTCAGGACTCACCCGAGGTGGTCCTAGCACACCTGGGCCTGGGTCTCATCTTCCCCCGCTGCATTCTTGCTCCAGGCACGTGGAACCTGCCATTCCCTCCATCTGAGGCCCTGGGCATTTGCCGGGAGCAGGCGTCTCTCTCCATGCTCCCCAGGTCCGCCCACCGGGCTGTGGCTCGGGACAGAAGGTCCTACAAGCCTGGATGACCGGGACAAGGAACCGGGGATGGCCCACAGCCCAGCCCTTCTTCCCTCTCTCTGTCCCTCCCTCCTGGAGTCCCTGGTTTCTTCCTAAATGGATTAGAGCCTTTACTGGAAGGAGCCGGCCGCTGTCTGGGGCAGCCGGGAGCCCAGGGCTGGATGGCTGTCTGGTGGCTCCTGCTTTGCCGTGATTCGATTTGGGCCTCAGCAGCTGGGAGACTGGCAGCCCTAAGGCCTTTGTGGGAATAGTTCAAGGGACCGGCTGGCAGGGGGTGGCTGGGGGGAGGGGGACACCTTCCAGCCCCCAGGCAGCAGACCTCTCAGCTGGATCTTTTAAGAAGTCCGGTCACATGCAAGACCCTCCTGCAGGCTTCCTGCCATGGAACATCCCCCGTCGTGGCCACTGGCCACCCCATGGTTCATCAGTGGGTCTCATTCATGGCCTGTGTCTCATCCATGGCCTGTCACCGCCTCTGCATCCCTTAATACAGCGGATTTCAAAGTTCTATAAAATTGGAACCCAGAAGAAGAAATGTCTTTTCTAAACATTTAGCAGCAAACTCAACATACATTTTGGCCAAACGCCTACCGGCCAGTTGTTTAAATCAATATTTATCCGCAGCCAAAGAGCAGAGGAGAGCCAGAACCGAGGCCAGAGCTGAGCTCTGATGTGTCTCTCATTTCTCAGGACGTTTCTGTCCCTGAGGCTGGACACCTCTGGCCTAGTGAAGTGTGATGCACTCTGACATCTCCTGTTCTCTGTCATTGGCCCATGATCATACGTCATGACCTACTGCAAGGTCTGTCTGTGGCTGGGACCACACACCTTGGGCCTCATGTACATCGGGCACTGATTGAGGCCCTGGGGTGTGACAGTGGCAGGCAGACCTGGTTTCTGCCCTCAAAGAGCTTACAGTTGGCAGGGGCACCCATGGCAGCAGAAGACACCCCAGGCCTGGTGCCCTTTGCGGCGCCAGCCCCGCGGTCCTCCTGCCTGGGCCTTCCCTACCCCACTGGGTGCAGAAACTCCTTGTCTGCAGGTAGGAGGCAGCAGGTTTACAGGCTCCTTTGGGTCCTGCAGCCCTGCTGTCTGCCGTCAACACCCAGCAGGGGCCACACAGAAAGCACTGGGACTGAGCCCAGAGAGGGGAACCGAGAGGCCTCTGCCTCTGGTCTCTGCCTTCTTTGCTTGGATTGGTGCAGGGACAGCTGCCTTGAGGGCAGGCCCAGGCCCTGGGGCAGGCTGTGGGTGCCCCCCGGGTCAAGAAGGAGAGGGGCAGGGTAGAACCAGGGGCTGAGGGAGGCTCATCTTTGTGTCTCATGGGTGCCCAGCTGGGCACTGTCGTACCCAGCAAGCCTGTGCCATGCCACGGGGACCCACAATTGGGGGTTCTGGACTTGAGGGGGAGGATGCAGCTCTGTCCCCCAGGAATCCCACTGCAACGGGACACAGTCCTGTCCTGGGGAGCCCCCGACCTGAGACAAAGCAGCCTCGGCCCTGCTGTATCTTTCTATACTCCTGAAGCCAAGTCTCCTGGCTAGGAGGGAAACTGAGGCAGGAAGGCCTCGGTGGGGGTAGCATTGGCCTCAGAAGCACGTGGCTTGATACAGAAATGTGACGGCAGAGCTCAGAGGTGTGCGGAACAGAGGGGAGGACATCACCGGCTTCTGACCCTGCTGGGCTTCAGGTTGGGGGTACAGGAGATGGGCCAGCAGGTTGGACAATTAAAAGCTTTGATGAGACTGGGTGAGGTGGCTCATGCCTGTACTTTCAACACTTTGGGAGGCTGAGGAGGGCAGGTCACCTGAGGCCAGGAGTTCAAGACCAGCCTGGCCAACATGGTGAAACCCCATCTCTACTAAAAATACAAAAATTAGCCAGATGTATGGTGGCACCTGTAATCCCAGCTACCAGGGAGGCTGGGGCAGGAGAATCACTCAAACCCAGGAGGGGGAGGTTGCAGTGAGCCAATATTGTACCACTGCACTCCAGCCTGGGCAACAGAGCGAGATGCTGTCTCGAAATAAAATTAAATTTAAAATTAAAAAAAGCTTCAAGGACAACCAGCAGATGATGGCAGGGCCAGGAAGGGTGCTTGAGGCAGGGGGAACTAAACCCTCACAGACTAGGGGATCATGAATGTCGGTCCATCTGGGAGTGGCACAGCTTAGAGGACCTGGAGCATGGAGTGTGAGGGGGATCTGGAGTGGGGGACAGGAGACCAGGTAACTAGAATACCAGACTGAGGAGTTGAGAGCTAATGTGGGCAGTAGGGAGCCATGGAGGGTGTGTGAGCGAGGGAGGGCTGTGGCCAGAACTGCCCACGTTGGGAGAGGTGGCAGTTGGGGCCTGCCCAACAGACTGGTCCTGGTGCTGGGCTCAGCTTGTGTGTGCCGACTTCGGAGGGCGTGCCACAGGGTGCGAGTTATCCTGCCACCTGTGCCCAGGCCTGTGCAGGCTCTAATCCCATCACACATAAAGCCCTTGGGCCCAAGGAAGGTCGGCCCTGGATACAGAGGCAGCCGTGGGAGTCCGGGGGTCAGGTGGATTGGGGCGGGTGGGCGCCACATGAGCCAAGCCCCCTGCCTTGTGCCCACCACCACTGCCTCCTCCCTCCCCACAGGCGACCATGGCCTTGCTGGGCAAGCGCTGTGACGTCCCCGCCAACGGCTGTGGACCTGACCGCTGGAACTCTGCCTTCACCCGCAAAGACGAGATCATCACCAGCCTCGTGTCTGCCTTAGACTCCATGGTGAGTGTCCCCATCCGCCCAGGAGGAGGGGACAGGGTGAGCGTCCCCGCCTGCCTTGTAGCTCATATCCTACCTCAGCCACTGGAAGGAGCTTTCACTGACCTGAGCCTCAGTTTATCTGACTGCAGCTAGGGCCACGATGCCTGCGTCAAGGGTGGGAGACTTTAGTGAGATCCAGTACATAAAAATCTAGCCCTGGGGCCAGGCGCGGTGGCTCACGCCTGTAATCCTAGCACTTTGGGAGGCTGAGGCGGGTGGATCACGAGGTCAGGGGTTCGAGACCAGCCTGGCCAATATGGTGAAACTTCATCTCTACTAAAGATACAAAGAATTAACTGGGTGTAGTGGTGGGTGCCTGTAATCCCAGCTACTCAGGAGGCTGAGGCAGGAGAATTGCTTGAACCTGGGAGGCGGAGGTTGCAGTGAGCCGAGGTCGCGCCATTGCACTCCAGCCTGGGTGACAGGGCAAGACTCCGTCTCAGAAAAAAAATCTATCCCTGGAATAAACAGTAGTTCCCAGCCCTCGTCCCCTTGTCCCTTCACCCCTCTTGCCATTTCCACTTTGTCCCTGGTATGAACCACATGCCTATGTCCTAGCAGGTGATCTGAGGGATAATGTCTGGGAAGGCATTCATTAGAAAGATGTAATCCCCAACACTAAAGCAAGAGTTCTAACTGCATCTCGGGCGGGAAGAGAGAAACCAGGCTTTGTATAATATGGCGCTATTGCCTGCATACCTAGACCTGTAGTAATTTATCCCAAATGAGGACATCGTAATATCATTTTCCTACAGCCTTTCCCTGGCGGGAGGTTCTGTGATGCAAGTCTTCAAAAAAAATCTGGCCCAGCACGGTGGCTCACGCCTGTAATCCCAGCACTTTTAGGGGCCCAGGTGGGTGGATCACTTAGGGTCAGGAGTTCGAGACCAGCCTGACCAACATGGCAAAATCCCATCTCTACTAAAAATACAAAAATTAGCCGGGCGTGGTGGCCCATGCCTGTAATCCCAGCTACTTGAGAGGCTGAGGCAGGAGAATCACTTGAACCCCGGAAGTGGAGGTTGCAGTGAGCAGAGATCACACCACTGCACTCTCGCCTGGGCAACAGAGGGGGACTTCATCTCAAAAAAAATAAATAAATAAAAATAAAAAAATTAGACTGGCATGGTGGCACATGCCTGTAATCCCGCCTACTCAGGAGGATGAGGCAGGAGAATTGCTTGAACCTGGGAGGCGGAGGTTGCAGCAAGCCGAGATCACGCCACTGCACTCCAGCCTGGGCAACAGAACGAGACTCTCTCAATTAAAAAAAAGTTTTTTTAATAAAAATAAAATTAAAAACCTGTCTGACATCAGTTAGCTGCACCCCTGCATTTTAGGATGATGAAGCGCAGAGAGGGTAGGACCTTGCCCGAAGTCACACAGCATGACCAGTTGTTTGGTTTTTTTTTTGAGATGGAGTCTCGCTCTGTCACCCAGGCTGGAGTGCAGTCGCGCAAACTTGGCTCACCGCACCCTCCGCCTCCCAGGTTCAAGCAATTCTCCTGCTTCAGCCTCCCGAGCAGCTGGGACTACAGGCATCCGCCACCACACGTGGCCAGCTAATTTTTGTACTTTTAGTAGAGACGGGGTTTCACCATGTTGGCCAGGATGGTCACAATCTCTTGACCTCGTGATCCGCCCACCTCAGCCTCTCAAAGTGTTGGGATTACAGGCGTGAGCCACTGCACCCGGCCCAGCAAGACCAGGTTTTAAAGTGAGCTTCTGCATACAAAGTCTCCCCGAAAAACAAAGGACCTCTTTCAAGCTATTCCTGCTGTAGATGGCTCAAGGGCTGCTTAGGTGGTGTTTGGGGCAGTGGTGGGAGACACCCCTGGAAAAGTGACTGGGTGCCACACTCTCTCCATAACGACCCCTCCCCTATGCAGAGTGACCTTCATGAGGAGGGGGCCCGAGGAGCTCAGCCCTGTGTCCTGAAGCACTGTGAGCTTGGCAGTGGTGGAAGTGTGGCTGACGTGGGCAGTGATGGGCGATCCCATGGCCACTAGCTACCTGTGGCTATTTGCAATTTTTTTTTGTTTTTGGAGAGTTTGCTCTGTTGCCCAGACTGGAGTGCAGTGGCGCCGAATCTTGGCTCACTGCAACCTCCCCTCCTGGGCTCAAGTGATTCTCTTGCCTCAGCCTTCTGAGTAGCTGGGATTACAGGCATGCGCCACCCACGCCCTGGCTAATTTTTTTGTATTTTTAGTAGAGGAGGGTCTCACCTGTTAGCCAGGCCGCGCTCTCAACTCCTGACCTCAGGTGATCCACCTTCCTCAGCCTCCCAAGTGCGGGGATTACAGGCATGAGCCACCGCGCCTAATTCAGTTAAATTCTACAATTAGTTAAAATGAAATAAGCAACTCAGTTGTTTCAGTTGCAGCCAGCTCATTTTACGTGCTCAGTAGTCAGAAGTGGCTGGTGTCTACGGATTGAGCAGTGCAGAGGTAGGATATGTTCATTGTCATGAAAGTTTCCACTGGGGTGGGCCAGGCACAATGGCTCACGGCGTATAATCCCGCACACCTGAGAGACTGAGGTGGGGCAGATCACTTGCGCAGGACTTTGAGATCAGCCTGGGCACATGGTGAAACTCCATCTCTACTGAAAATACAAAAATTAGCTGGGCATGGTGGGTGCACGCCTGTTGGGTTTTTCCTAAAAAGGCTATGGTCGCGGAGTGAGGCAGAGAATTGCCTGAGTCTGGGGACGGCCGGCAGGTTGCAGTGAGCAAGGTTCGTGCGATCTACACTCCAGTCCTAGGTGACAGAGCAAGACTTTCTATCAAAAAAAATCAAGGGGGCGGCGCTCCGCGGGTGACTTCAAGCCTGTGTAATCCCAAGCCTTGTTTTGGAGGGCCAGGAGGTGATCACGAGAGGTCAGGGAGATCGAGACCTCCTGGCTGACACGCGTGAGACCCCGTTCTCTACTTGAAAAATACCAAAAACTAGCCGCGGGCGAGGGGTGCGGGCGCTGCTAGGTCCCAGCTACTCTGGCAGGCTAAGGCAGGAGAATGGCATGAACTCGGGAGGCGGAGCTTGCAGTGAGCTGAGATCTGGCCACTGCACTCCAGCCTGGGTAACAGAGTGAAACTCTGTCTCAAAAAAAAAAAAAAGTTCTACTAGGTAGCAGTGGTCTAGTGAGTGTATCAGAACCTCCCTGGAGGAGCACGTGACCCTCTAGTTATCCTAGCGGTGTGAACAAGACAGGCTCCCCCTGTCCCTGGGCCTTTTAAGGGCTTCCTGAGGGACCCTCATGGGACAATGACATTTGCTTAGCAGTGACTTAAGTCCAGCCTCCTCCAAATGCCAGGATCTTTTGGTGGCCTGTAGGGAGGGTGGAATGAAGGGATGTGCCTTCGTCACCCGCCCCCAATCTCAGATCCTCTTCCCCACCAGCTCTGGGTGCCTTTAGGTGGGTGAGTTTTCTGCCACGGTCTCGGCGTCTTCAGCTGAGCGGTGACTGTGGCATGAAGCAGCTCTTTCAGCTGTGATGGATGAGAAACAGCTGGATTTATTTGTTTTATTTTTTGTTAATACTCTACAGTGTTCCACGCAGAAAGGGAACAGCAAGCTTTTGTTTTCATCTTAGAAGAAAATGAATGCCCTGTGTTTTAATTTTCCAGTAGGGACCCTGGAGGACAGACCTCCTGGCCCCACGCCGCCCGCACCTTCCTAACCAGAGCGATTCCAGGCTGGGGCTGGCACCATAGGCCAGATGATGGCCCAGAGAGGTTACCTGTCGCAGGTCACACAGCACAGAACTGCAATTGGAAGCCAGACTCTATAGCTGCCAGCACTACCTGACTCAGATGAAAACCAGCATTTTTTTGGCACAATCAGGGTTTTCCTGGGGGGGTGGGTCAGAGAGCTGAGATGCTGGTGGTCTCGGTTGCAGAGACCCCCCCATATTAAGGCCTCTGTGCAATGGGGCTGCAGACCTCGACTGTGGGGCCATGAGGATAGCCAGCTCCGTGTTTACCCATATAGGATGTCCCAGTTTAGAGATCTTTTCCCCCAACCATTGAATCCCCATACCCAAGCCCAGTGGCACTGTGGAACTGGGCTGCTTCTCCCCAATTCTACAGACGTGGAAACTGGCCAGGCACAGTGGCTCACGCCTGTAATCCCAGCACTTTGGGAGGCTGAGATGGGCACATCACCTGAGGTCAGGAGTTTGAGACCAGCCTGGCCAACATGGTGAAACCCCATCTCTCCTCATGATACAAAAATTAGTGAGGCATGGTGGCGGGCGCCTGTAGTCCCAGCTACTCCGCAGGCTGAGGCAGGAGAATCGCTTGAACCTGGGAGGCAGAGGTTGCAGTGAACCAAGACTGCGCCACTGTACTCCAGCCTGGGCGACAGAGTGAGACTGCGTCTCAACAAAACAAAACAAAACAGATGTAGAAACTGGAGCCCAGAGGAGGGACATGACTGGCTTAAGTCCCAAAGCAGAAACGGCCGAGGTGAGAATACAGCCCCAGTCTGTCCAATCCCCACCTTTCCTGCCGTTCTTCCCACCCCCTCCTCATCCAGGACTTGAGAGGGGCCAAGAGAACGCAGCACGGCATTGTCCCTGGGGCTGGGGCTAAGGTGGGCTTACCCCAAGGAGGAGGACCTTGGAGGGAGGAGAGAGGACACTTGTCCTCCTCCAGCCCCCCATCGCCAATCCCTGGAGGGCCATTCATTCAGTTGCACTACAGAATCTGAGACCGAGAACAGTAGAGGGACTGTCTATCCCTGGAGCTTCTGCTGAGGTCTCAGGCAGCTGGGAGCTCACATCCCACTCCTGAAGTGGGTACTAGAGGTGTTTGGAGTGGGGAGCCCTTCCACTCACACACCCTGCTCTTCCCACAGTGCTCAGCGCTGTCCAAACTGAACGCCGAGGTGGCCTGTGTTGCCGTGCACGATGAGAGCGCCTTCGTGGTGGGCACGGAGAAGGGGAGAATGTTCCTGAATGCCCGGAAGGAGCTACAGTCAGATTTCCTCAGGTTCTGCCGTGAGTACCCCAGGGCTCTGGAGGGCCAGGCCCGCCATGCCTCGAGGGCAGGAGCTCTGGTCCGTCTCTGGGTCCCCAGCCCTGTCCAGCCAGGGTGACGGTGTGCGGGGGATGAACCTAACAAGCAAGGTTGTCTGAGATTCCCGATGTCGTGTTATTGAGGCAGCCGTGGTTTTTGTGGGAATCATTCCGCAGCCCCTGAGTTGACAGAGACTGGCTGGGTGAACCCCAGGGTAGGCCAGAGCCAGCCACTTCCATCTGCCTTTTCCAGATGGGGACACCAAGGCCCAAGGTTGCTGCTCAGTTCTTCCTCTTCAGTATGTATTTCTGAGCACAAGGACCAAATGCACTTATTCCAACACAATTTTTTTTTTTTTTTTTTTTTTTTTTAATGAGACAGAGTCTCACTCTGTCACCCAGGCTGGAGTGCAGTGGCACAATTTTGGCTCACTGCAACCTCTGCTTCCTGGGTTCAAGTGATTCTCCTGTCTCAGCTTCCCAAGTAGCTGGGATTACAGGCACGCACCACCACGCCCGACTAATTTTTTGTATTTTTAGTAGAGATGGAGTTTCACCATGTTGGCCAGGCTGGTCTCGAACTCCTGACCTCAAGTGACCCGCCCACCTCAGTCTCCCAAAGTGCTGGGATTACAGATGTGAGCCGCCGCGCCTGGCCATATTCCAATAAGATTTATTGATCACCTGCTGTGCACGGCATCCTTTCTGATGCTAACTCACCTACCCTGACATCAACCTGAGGAGGCAGGCACTGTCATTGCTATAGTGACAGTTAACATCTTAGGCCAGGTGCAGTGGCTCATGTCTGTAGTCCTCGCACTTCAAGAGGCTGAAATGGAGGATCACTTGAGCCCAGAAGTTGGAGACCAGCCTGGGCAACATAGCAAGACCCCTGTCTCTACAAAAAATTTAAAAATTAACCAGGCTTGATGGTGCACACGTGTAGTCCCAGTACAGAAAGCCATGGATGGGACCAGGCACGGTGGCTTACGCCTGTAATCCCAGCACTTTGGGAGGCTGAGGCAGGAGGAACACTTGAGCCTGGGAGTTTAAGGCTGCAGTGAGCTACGATGGCACCACTGCACTCCAGCCTGGGTGACAGTGAGACCCCATCTCAAAAGAACCATGGTATAGCATGAGGTTAAGAGAACGGGCCACCTGGGTCCACAACTGCTGTGCCTCAGCCCACTCATCCGTGAAAGGGGAGAACGGGTGGGTCTGAGGGTTAAACGAATTTGTACCCAGCAAGCACTTAGGACAGTGTCTGGCACTGGGTTCACACTCAATAGACACCAGCTGTTGTTGCTATTATTAGTATTCGCATCACACCCCTAAGATCAGCTGTTTCAGGGAAGGGCATCCCCCAGCGCTGGGCCTATCATTACTGGGGTACAGCTGCGTCCCCAGCCAGCCCCCCACCCCGCTCAGCCTTCAGAGCCTAGACCTTCCCCAGGGCCAGAATGGGGGACTGGGCCGGGTAGAGTGGACAGCAGCAGGTCCTGTGGCACCCCAGCCTCCCAGAGCCTGAGGCGGTGCACCTGGCTTCTAGAGCCAGGCAGAGCCGCTATTTATAGCACCAGGAACTCGGCTGGTTTATTTCAAGCTCCGCAGATCCCAGAGGAGAACAGGCTCCAAGCCGGGAGGGGGCCGCGGGCCCCTCCTCTCATCTCCTTTCCAATGCAGCTTCTAGAACATTCCCGAAGGATCTACCAACACTCTCTGGTCCCCACTCTGGCCCAGCCTGGCATGAACCTGCTGTTTGCAACCCACGGCCTCCTCGGAGCAGGGGTTGGGGGGTGCCCGTTGTTTCTTCCTTCGGCAGAGCAGAAAACGGGGGCATAGATTGGTCGAGACAGTGTTGGTGTCAGGGCACAGAAAGGCATGGATGGGGCCAGGCACGGTGGCTCACGCCTGTAATCCCAGCACTTTGGGGGGACAAGGCAGGCGGATCACCTGAGGTCAGGAGTTCGAGACCAGCCTGGCCAACATGATGAGATCCCATATCTACTAAAAATACAAAAATTAGTTGGACATGGTGGCGGGCGCCTGTAATCCCAGCTACTCGGGAGACTGAGGCAGGGGAATCACTTAAACCCTGGAGGTGGAGGTTGTAGTGAGCTGAGATTGTGCCACTGCACTCCAGCCTGGGTGACAGAGTGGACTCTGTCAAAAAAAAGAAAGAGAGAGAGACGGAGGGAGGGAGGGAGGGAAAGAGAGAAAGAGAGAGAGAAAGAGAAAGAGACAGATGGAACGTTCATCGAACCTCAGTTCTGAGCTGGAATAGCTGGCCTCCCACGAGCATGCACAGATGGAGGCTCAGAGAGAGAAGGGACTTACCCAAGGTCACACAGCAAATTAGAGGTGACCAGAGGTGAGGCCCAGCCCTGGGCCAGGCAATGGGAACTCTGAGATGACCAGCCCTGGCCCTCAGTGGGGTGGTTGGGATAGGGCTTGGTCACTCATTAATTCTTCATTCATTCATTCACTTGTGTATCACGTTGTATGCCAGTCTCCACGGCTCAGCACAGGGCAGAGACATCCCAGCTCGAAGGCCGGGTGGTGAGACGGGTGTTCACTGTGGCCTCCTGTGCTGTGTGTCCCACAGGAGGGCCCCCGTGGAAGGATCCGGAGGCAGAGCACCCCAAGAAGGTGCAGCGGGGTGAGGGCAGCGGCCGGAGCCTCCCTCGGTCTTCCCTGGAACACGGCTCAGATGTGTACCTTCTGCGGAAGATGGTAGAGGAGGTGTTTGATGTTCTTTATAGTAAGATCCTTCCTCATTCCATTTGGGGGCCCCAGGGAGGGTGGGAGCCTGGGTCCCCACCCAGCAGAGGGGGCCCCCTCCTGTCCCACTACAGGCCCTGGGCAAAGCCGGACCCCAAGGCATGGAGGTACTGGTTACCCTAGCCCTTCCTCATCTCTGCATTCCCAGACACAGACGTTCTACTCCAGCCGTTTTCCCAAACCTCCATCCCCACTGTCCCTGCCCTGGCTCAAGTCATGCCACCTCTTGCCTAGAAATAGCCCCAGGCTTGCCACGGTCTCCCTGCCTCCCCACATCTGCCCTGCCACCAAGGGCATCTTCTCAAAGCACAAGTCTGACCATGAATGAAGCTCTTGCCTCCACAGCCTTCGGGGGCTCCCCATCGACCCTGAGCAAGCATGGCACAGGGGCCCACACACCCATCCTCATCCCCTCTATACCTTCTTTTCCTGCTAGGTGACAGGGCCCTACTGACCTCCCTACAGAACCACTTCCCGTTCTCCAGCACTCGCTGGTTCCTTTCACATGCCCTGGCCTTCGCGCTGTTGCATCTTTTGAGACTGCCTTTCCCCTCCTCTGTCTGGCGGACACCCGCGTGCCACTGAGGCTCTGCTCCTGGAAGCCCCCTCACAGTGGGTTTAGGCCCCTCTCTTGGCACCCACAGTGCCCTGTCCCCTCACCAGCCCAGGAGCTCTCCAGGGTCAGGGGCTATGTCTGCCCTTTCTAGCTGTCTCCAGCCTGCAGTTCAGAGCCCAGCAACAGCAGGTACTCGGAGAACGTTTGTTGAATGACTAAGTGAAGGCTGATTGCTCAGCCACGTCTTTCCTGCAGGGAGAGGAGAACTGGCCTCCCTTGGGAAGCGTCAGGTTGCAGAGGGCCTCAGGGCCCCAGTGGTGGCCTTCACACGCCCTGGGAAACCTTGGGCAGGTCCCTTTGGCCCTCAGGGTCCCACCTCATTCATTTCTGATTTGGCTTTATCCCTTCTCCTACTGTGGCCTTTGGTTTTATGGAGCAAAGGTCTGCGAGGAAACTTCTGGTGTTCTTATGTCAGGAGGAGGGGTACTCAGAGGCCCTGGGCGGTCACACTGGCCACCCTGGGATGGGGGACTTGCCACGCATGGTTGACTCTACCCCTGTCGACACTTTTGCCAGCTGCAGGGCCCATGCACAGAGCCCCCTGCACCCCTGCCCACCTTGCCCCGGCCCCCCTTTCCACTTTGGGCAGAATTCAAGGAGGCTATGAGAGGATGGGCCTCCTTCTGGCTCCAGGTGGGGGCTGCAGCCTGGAGGTGGCAACAGACATCCCAGTGCCCAGTCCTCAGTCCCCAGCTTGCCTCCCCTCATCTGTGCCCCCAACCCCCATCTTTGTTCCCGCGTCTTCTCAGTCTGTCTCTTCCTCTTCTCTCCTATCTTTTTCTTTTGTTGTTGTTTTGAGATGAAGTTTCGCTCTGTTGCCTGGGCTGGAGTGTAGTGGCACGATCTCGGCTCACTGCAACCTCCGCCTCCTGGGTTCAAGCGATTCTCCTGCCTCAGCCTCCTGAGCAGCTGGGATTACAGGTGCCCGCCACCACACCCAGCTAATTTTTGTATTTTTAGTAGAGACAGGGTTTCACCATGTTGGCCAGGCTGGTCTCAAACTCCTGACCTCAAGTGATATGCCTGCCTCGGCCTCCCAAAGTGATGGGATTACAGGCATGAGCCACCGTGCCCGGCCTCTCTCGTCTTTTTCTGAATCCCCTATTTTTGCTCCCTCTCCACTTCCTCTTCTTCTTGCTTTCTCTCCCCTCTCTTGGTCTCTCTCCCTTCCTCCCTACACATTTTTCTTCTTCTTCTTTTTTGAGATGGATTCTCGTTCTGTCACCCAGGCTGGAGTGCAGTGGCATGATCTCAGCTCCCTACAACCCGCCTCCTGGGTTCAAGTGATTCTCCTGCCTCAGCCTCCTGAGTAGCTGGGATTACAGATGCCCACCACCACGCCCAGCTAATTTTTGTAGTTTTAGTAGAGACGGGGTTTCCTCATGTTGGCCAGGCTGGTCTCGAACTCCTGGCGTCAAGTGATCCTCCTGCCTCAGCCTCCCAAAATGCTGGGATGACAGGCATGAGCCACCGTGCCCGGCCCTTACAGCTTCTTCCTTGCAGTCTGGCTCATGCAAGTGCCCGCTTCTCCGTCTCTTCTGCCCTCTTTTCTCCCACCAGATTGTCTGTCTCTGCTCTGTCCTCTGGGCCCTTGTAGTCCCCGGTTTCCCTTCTAGCCAGGTGCCCAAGTGGAGAGGGGCTTGGCCAGGGAGGGCAGCAGGGATCCCCCCTCGGTGGGGGAACCCCAGCCCCCCAGATACAGACAAGGGGCCCTTGTCCACAGCATCCACCCCCAGCCTGCAGGCAGTTATTCTGCACAAAGTCTGCAGTTATGAGGGGTCCATGGGAACCCTGCACCAAAGGGAGCCACTCAACACTGCCCCCACTCTGGGGCACAGCGGCCCCGACTCCAGCCTGGCTGCCCTCTCATACCAGGCCCCTCTCCTGGACTCCCCCTACAGGCGAGGCCCTGGGAAGGGCCAGCGTGGTGCCGCTGCCCTACGAGAGGCTGCTCAGGGAGCCAGGGCTGCTGGCTGTGCAGGGGCTGCCGGAGGGCCTGGCCTTCCGGAGGCCAGCTGAGTATGACCCCAAGGCCCTCATGGCCATCCTGGAACATAGCCACCGCATCCGCTTCAAGCTCAAGAGGTGAGTGAGGCAGCTGGCCCAGGGCTGGGCCGGGGCTGGGGCCTGGAGGCCACTTAGCCAGAGGGGAAGGGACTTGAGATGCCCATGGGGGACCCTGGTGGTGAAAGCTCCCAGTCTGATGGTGGAGGTGAAGTGAAAGCGAAGTCATAGAACAGGATCTGAGCTAGGTCATTAAGCCTTGAAGTCTTCCCAGGGAAGTTGCATTGCAGAGAGACTGGAAGAGACATGACTTGGGACAAAATAGCACCAATGTGATCGGGTGCAGTAGCTGACACCTGTAATCTCAGCACTTTGGGAGGCTGAGGTGAGAGGATCACTTGAGGCTAGGAGTTCGAGACCAGCCTGGGCAACATACCAAGACCCTGTCTCTGCCAGAAAAAAAAAAAAAAATTACCCAGGTGTGGTGGTACACACCTGTCATCTCAGCTGAGGCAGGACGATTGCTTGAGCCCAGGAGTTTGAGGATGCAATGAGCTGTGATTGCATCACTGCACTCCAGCTGGGCAACAAAGCAAGACCTTGTCTCTTAAAAAAAATTTTTAAATGTGGCATTTTAGGTGTCAAAAGTGGGAGAACCATGTCCTCTGCTTGTTCAGGTTGTAAATCTGGGGTTAATTAGGGACCCAGGGGAGATACTGTTGAGGCTGGTCTGAGGCAGTACCAATTGTCAGGAGAGCCAGGAAGGCAGCCTGAGGACTTAGGTTGAGCCCATCTCTGCTAGGTACCCCAGGCAATGCAGAGGCAGAGAAGGGGAGGGGAGCAGCAGGAGACGGGAGGCAATCAATTGCACCTGGCAGGATCTGATCAGTGGATTGGAGCAGAGGGGCAGAGCCCAGGTCCTCCAGTGGCGTAGCTCTGTGGCCCTGGGCACACCATTCCCACCTCTGAGCCTGCATCCCCACTTGTAAAGTAGAAAGGCAGCTCCTGTCCTGCCCTCTTACGGGGCTGTTATGTTCTGCTGAGGGTGGGGATGCAGGGTTGTGGGGGAAGAGCTGCAACATGTGAAACAGATGTACAAAGCTGTCCATGTGTCCTCTCCTTTACTCAGGCCACTTGAGGATGGCGGGCGGGACTCGAAGGCCCTGGTGGAGCTGAATGGTGTCTCCCTGATACCCAAGGGGTCACGGGACTGTGGCCTGCATGGCCAGGCCCCCAAGGTGCCACCCCAGGACCTGCCCCCCACCGCCACCTCCTCCTCCATGGCCAGCTTCCTGTACAGCACGGCGCTCCCCAACCACGCCATCCGAGAGCTCAAGCAGGAAGCACCTTCCTGCCCCCTTGCCCCCAGCGACCTGGGCCTGAGCCGGCCCATGCCAGAGCCCAAGGCCACTGGTGCCCAAGACTTCTCCGACTGTTGTGGTAACATTGCTGCTGGGATCTCCAAGTCTAGGGGGTGGGACAGAGGTCACTCATGCATGGGACATCCTCCCAGGGCAGGTCAGGATGCCTGGGCCCTCTTAGGTTGGAAGGAGCTGTGTCTGGGCATGGGGGTGGGACTGGACAGATGCTGTCCTAGCAGAGACCCCTTGGACCTTGGGTCTCTGCTCAGCCATCTGTGAATGATGTCCTTGGCCTTGGACTAAGAGACACCTGCAAGGACTCCCTGGGTCCCAGCTACTCAGGAGTCTGAGGCAGGAGGATCAACTGAGCCCAGGAATTTGAGGCTGCATTGAGCTATGATTGCATACCTCTGCACTCCAGCCTGGGTGACAGCACAACTCTGTCTCAAAAAAAAAAAAAGAAAAAAAAGAACCAGCGATATTTCAGGTGTCAAAAGTGGGAGATCCACATATCACATGCTATAAAGGAAGTTAGCATACTAGTCATCCCCATGCATTCAGTGAGGACCCGCTCCAATTCAGTGAGCACCCACTGCATACCCAGCCTGGTTAAGGGCACTAGGGGAAGTAGGTCCTGGGGTGGACAGGACAAAAGGAACAGTTGCAGGTGAGATTCATATCCTGCTCGTTTACTTAGTGGCTATGCATCCTGGGGCAAATCTCTATCTCTGAACCTCAGTTTCTTCCTCTATAAAATGGGAATGCTAGCATTACCTGCTTCCCAGAAGTGTTATCATGATTAAAGGACAGATCGGTGGCAGTAGCATCTCCTGAGAGAGGGTTAGAAATGCATATTCTCAGGTCCCACTGCAGTCCTGCTGAATCTGAAGCTCTGGGGATGGGACCCAGTAGTCTTTTTGGACAACTCTGCCAAGTAGTTCCAATGTGCTCAAGTTTGAGAGTTGCTGTATTAAAGCACTGGGTCTGGCCAGGTGTACCTGTAATTCAAGCTCTTTGGGAGGCTGAGGCGGAAGGATTGCTTGAGCCCAGGAGTTCAAGACCAGCCCGGGTAACATAGCAAGATCCTATCTCTACCTTAAAAAAAAAAAAAAAAAAAATAGCACTTGGGTCTGGGTCTAATGCTTGGCCTGTAGTAGGTGCTTGTAAGTTATATATACTTATTATTATTATTATTATTATTGGGGGGAAAAAAGCCCAAATATGTGGGCTGACCAGGGCTTCGAGCTTATACACATAAAACAAGTGTTCTTACCTGGAAAAGGTGACCTCCGACATCCCTTTCTTGTTAATCTGGCTTTTGGCTAGCAGATTCTGGTACAGACTGTCTTAAGCCTCTGGTCAGGGACCTTGCCTTGAGTTTGTGATCACAGGAATCAGTTCTGGGGTCTCCCTGGCAGATGAGGCTGTTACCCCAGAACCAGGGCCTATACACTGGGGCCAGATCTGGGGAACCCTCTTGGGGCCCACCTGGAACCCATTTCCTTCTCTCCCTTGTCCAGGACAGAAGCCCACCGGGCCTGGTGGGCCTCTCATCCAGAACGTCCATGCCTCCAAGCGCATTCTCTTCTCCATCGTCCATGACAAGTCAGGTAGGACGGCGCCCATGCAGCACCCAGGCCTGAGTGGGAATCTGGGGTTGGAGGTGGTGCTCATTGAAATTGATAAGTGTCTCCTGGGTCTTTGTGAGAGAAAGGAGGAACAGCTCTGCTCAAGGGACTGCAAGTAAACTGGGATATAATAGTTATCTACTGCTGTATGATAAACTGCCCCAGACTAGGCATGGTGGTTCATACCTGTAATCCCAGCACTTTGGGAGGCTGAGGCAGGAGGGTTGCTTGAGGCCAGGAGTTTGAGACCAGCTGGGCAATAGAGCAAAACACTGTCTCTGCAACAAATAAGAAAAATTAGCTGGATGTGGTGGTGCCTATCCTCTGAAGTCCTTGGGAGGCTGAAACTACTTGGGAGGCTGTGGCGGGAGGATCACTTGAGCCCAGGAGTTGGAGGCTGCAGTGAGCTATGATCACACCACTGCACTCCAGCCTGGGCAACAGTTAGACCCTATCTCTAAAAAAAAGTTATAACAAAAAATAAAATAAATAACCCCAAAATGGAGCTTAAAACATCAAGTGTTTATTACCTCACAGTTTCTGGGGGTTGGGAATTCAGGACTGGCTGAGCTGGGCAGTGCTGGGTCACAGTCTCTCATGAGGGTGCAGTCAAGATGTTGGCTGGGGTTGCTTGACAGCTGGGGTTGCTGTCATCCAAGAGCTCAACCGGGGCAGGAAGAGATGCTTCTGAGCTCATTCACACAGCTGTTGGTAGGAGGCCTCAGTTCCCCACTATGTGGGCTAGCCTTGACGGGGCTGCTTGAGCATCCTCACAACATGGCCGCCGGTTTCCTCCAGAGTTCTCGATCCAAAAGAGAGGAACGAGGAAGCCACATGGCTTTTATGACCCATCCTTAGAAATTGCTGTCATGTTCTATCTGTTAGAAGCCAGAAACATGATCCAGCCTACCCTCCGTGGGAGAGGAATTAAACTCCACCTTTTAAAGGAAGCAATATATTGAATAAAATTTAAAAAAAGATCACACAGAAGTCCTGAGTGTAGCGAAGTGTGGGATTCAGTTATACCAAGAAGGAGTGCAGTAGGACTTGCCAGCAGTTTTGCTCTGTGTGGGTCTCAGCCTCACCTCCAGGAAGAGGTTCTGTAAGAAAACCCAGTCCTAGGCCGGGTGCGGTGGCTCACACCTGTAATCCTAGTGCTTTGGGAGGCTAAGGGGGAGGATGGCTTGAGGCCAGAAGTTCTAGACCAGGCCAGGCAACCTAGTGAGACCCCACGTCTACAAAATTTTAAGAAAGAAAGAAAACCCAGTCCCCTGGGATCAGAATGGAGGCTCCCCCGCCCTGCAAGCCATCCACAACCCAATCTGCCACTGCCCCAAACAAGGTCCAGCCCTGGCAGGGAGGAGACGTGAATGTTCAGATGGAACAGCATCATGACAGGCCCGTGGGCTGGGGCACAAGCTGGGATAGAACCTCACTGGGTTGTCGCAAGCGAGATACTCAGCTTCTTTAAGCCTCAGTTTTCCTATCTGCAAAATGGGAATGATATCTCTGTTTAAAACTTGTCATAAGGAATTAAATAGGACATTATTATATATATAAAGTACTTAGCACAGATAAGTACTTAACAAATTAAAGTTGTTACTTCTACTGATTACAAATGAACCAACGATCACTTGTTATTATTCAATCAAGACAGAGGTTTTGAGAGAGAGGCCAGCAGAGCTGAGAGTTTGGGGGAAGCCAACGAGGCCAGTGCTGAGTGAGACCTCAGATGTAGGAGGTACAAGGGTTAGATTCTCAAGATCAAGACTCAGCCCTTAGCCAGACATGGTGGTGGGCACCTGTAGTCTCAGCTACTCAGGAGGCTGAAGTTGGAGGATCGCTGGAGTCCAAGAGTTGGAGGCTGCTGTGAGCTATGATCACACCACTGCACTCCTGGGCAACAGAGTGAGACCCCATCTGTAAAAAAGAAAAAAAGAAAAAACACAGCCAGGAGTGGTGACTCATACCTGTCATCATCCCAGCTGCTTGGGAGGCCGAGGCAGGAGGATCACGTGAACCCAGGAGTTCAAGGCTACAGTGAGCTATGACTGCACCACTGCACACCAGACTGGGCAACAGAATGAGACCCTGTCTCTATTTTTTTAAAAAACATTTAAATTAAAAAATAAAATACTCGATCTCAGGCCAGGCACAGTGGCTCACACCTGTAATCCCAGCACTTTGGGAGGCCGAAGCAGGCGGATCGCCTGAGGTCAGGAGTTCGAGACCAGCCTGGCCAACATGGTGGAACCCCGTCTCTACTAAAAATACAAAAATTAGCTGGGTGTGGTGGCACACATCTGTAGTCCCAGCTACTCGGGAGGCTGAGGCAGGAGAATCACTTGAACCCGGGAAGTGGAGGTTGCAGTGAGCTGAGATCACGCCACTGCACTCTAGCCTGGGTGAGAGAATAAGACACTATCTTAAAAAAAAAAAAAGAAAGAAAGAAAGAAAAGAAAACTTGACCTCTTTTTCTGCTGAAGGGACTGCTTTTCCAGCCTCCTGTATGTCTGGGGCAGGATGGGCTCGGGATGGACAGGCTGAGCCTATTCTGATACCACACCTGTGGGAGAGGCCAGAGACAAATGTTAGGGCAGGAACAGGCAGATGGGGAACCATCAGAGCACCCTGAATTCGTGTACGGTCCGAGGTGGGAGAGGGTGGAAGGACTGGGGGCTGGGGCCAGCCTCGGGGTCTCTGGGGGTGAAAACCCGGTGGTCATGGCCGGTGGGGGGCATGTGACTGTCCCGTGGGGCCCTGCTCACTTGTGCCTCCTGTGTTTTGATAGAGAAGTGGGACGCCTTCATAAAGGAAACCGAGGACATCAACACGCTCCGGGAGTGTGTGCAGATCCTGTTTAACAGCAGATATGGTGAGTGGGCGGCGCGGCCCGCCGTGTGGCCCCAGCAGCCGTGTTGAGCATCTCATTACGTGGCAATCACTCGTGTTCCCCAACACGGCAGCGGGAGCCATATGCTGGCTCCCGCGCGCCGGCAACACTAATGTCATCCGTCGCGGGCTCCTCCTGTCTGGGTAGGGGGTGGTTGTGTCAATATTTCCCTTCCAGATTCTTCAGGGGGCGGAACTGATGGCAAAGCCCCAGACCTGGGCTCAGCGGTGGGGAGCGGGGCAGGTTGGGGGCAGAGATTGCCCATCTGGGGGCCGGGCGCAGTGGCTCATGCCTGTTATCCCAGCGCTTTGGGAGGCCATGGTGGGAGGATCACCAGAGGCCGGGGGTTCAAGACCAGCCTGACCAACATAGTGAGACCTCCCGTCTCTACAAAAAAAATATTTTAAACCAGGCTGGGCACAGTGGCTTATGCCTGTAAAATCCCAGCACTTTGGGAGGCGGAGGCGGGCGGATCACCTGAGGTCAGGAGTTCGAGGCCAGCCTGGCCAACATGCTGGAACCCTGTCTCTACTAAAAATACAGAAATGAACTGGGTGTGGTAAAACACACCTGTAATCCCAGTTACTCGGATCCTGAGGCATGAGAATCACTGGAACCTGGTGCAGTGAGCCAAGATCGTGGCACTGCACTTCAGCCTGGTGACGGAGTGAGACTCTGTCTCAAAAAATATAAATAAATAAAAAATAAAAATTAGAAGATTAACCACACACCTGGGGTCTTAGCTACTTGCAGGCTGAGGTGGGAGGATTGCTTGAGCCCAGGAGGTTGAGGCTATAGTGAGCTATGATTGTACCCCTGCACTCCAGCCTGGGTGACAGAGCGAGACCCTATCTCTACAAAAGAAACAAACATAACAGATTGCCCATCAGGGGAAGCATCCATAAGGCCCAGAAAAATCTGTATTGGCCTCATGTGCCAGTTCCCCACAGTAACACACCATTTCCTGCCTCCCAGCCTTTACCCGTGCTGTGCCCTCTGCCTGGCACCGCCTTTTCACATCTTAGGGACAAATTCCTAATTGTTCTTTGTCTTGGGAGTCACCTCCTCCAGGAAGCCTTTGGGTCCCCAGCCTGGGCCAGGTAGGCCTGGGTACCCTGATGGTTCCCTCTCTGTGACACCTTGGGAACTTGATACCCCTTGCCTGCCGCTGTCTCCCTGAGGGCCAGGACTGCACCCAACCCCTCTCTTTGTCCCTAGCACCCAGGACAGTCAGGCTCATAGCAGATGTCAGCCCACCGCACTCTGGAAAGAAAACGCAAGTGGTAGGCGCGGTGGCTCACGCCTGTCATCCCAGCACTTGGGGAGGCTGAGGCGGGTGAATCACTTGAGCTCAGGAGTTCGAGACCAGCCTGGACAACATGGTGAAACCCCCTGTCTACAAAAACACAAAAATTAACCGGGTGTGGCATGGTGGCATGCACCTGTAGTCCTAGCTACTTTGGGAGACTTGAACACGGGAGTGGAGGCTGCAGTGGAGCCAAGATCACGCCACCTGTTACTCCATCTAGCCTGGGTGACAGTGGTAGGCTTTCTCTCAAAAAAAAAAAAAAAAAAAAAGAAGGGAGGATAATTCCAAGGAAGAAACAGTCTCAATAGGCTGGGAAGTCAAGGGTGGCTTCATGGACGAGGTGCCCTGTGACCATGACTGGGGCAGCCTCTGCATGTGGGCTGGGCCTTCCACATTGGGATGGGGCTGAGCAAGACTCTGGAGGCCTTAATGAGGAGCCTGGGATAGCCGGCTGCCTTTGATGTGGCCACGCTCCCCAGCCAGGCCTCCTCACTCCTCAGAGCTGCCAAGGGCTGTCTGCACCTGCCCCTGAGTCTCTCCCCGCCCCAGGCAGGTGTGAGCCAGGTGGAGGTTGGGGGAGGGGAACCAGGGAGGAGCCGGCTCTGCCTGCCTCGGGAGGGTTCTGCCCAGGCCAGTGTTCTGGCCTGTCCCACGCCCTGGACTTTCCAAAATGCCAAGCCTTTTCCAAACGTCAGTTCCTGAGTCGCATCCAAAGAGTGTTGGGTGTGGAGTGGTCAAGACCTTGTTCCCCATAAAGCCAGAGCTCCCTCTGGGGAGCTGCGCGGGGGAGAAGGCAGCTGCCCAGGAGTACTGGGGACCCCCCGGATGGTGGGAACAGGGTCTGGCAGCCCAAGGTATCCCACAGACTGTGGGTGAGCAACCCCTGCTCCCAGCTCTACCAGCCACCAAATCTGGGTGAATTGGGCCAGTGCGGGTGGTGCAGAGGGGGAAGAAACAGCAACATAAGAATTGGGAGAAACGTTAGGCTTTAGGAAGCCTCGAGGACATGTCCTCTGGGAAGATACCGGGACCAGGTGAGGGGCCGAGGACGGTGTAAGGTGGCACTGCAGGAAGGCAGCCCCTTCCCAAGGGGCAATAGCAGGGTTTGGGTTCGGCCCTCTGTCCACTGAATCTCCCTGCTGCTGAAAAGACAGGCCCCGATAAACCAGATGAACCGGACTGAGACGAATTCACAGGCACTCAAAGGACCAGTCGCTCAAGGGCTGGGGCTGGGGGTGGCTGCTGATGTGGGAGGTGGAGGGGTGTGGGGAGAGATGCCTTGCCAGCTGTTGAGATTTCGAGGGTTTAATTTGACAATGAGCTAAGTGTGACTTCTCAGTGGGATCTGGATGCCAAAGCCACCAACGCAGACCTGGGCCGCTGCGTCAACAGGAAAACAATGTCAGAAGCACCCGAGGGAGGGCCCAGGCAGGGCTGGAGGGAGGTCCAGCTCTGGGCTGGCACTTACAGGAACACAGACAAAGCATGGTGTGGCCAGAGAAGCAGGGCTAGGGCAGGGAGGGGCCTGAGGAACAACCAGGAGATATGGGAGCCTGGAGGGAGGACAGTGTGTCCAGGCCCCATCCATGGTCACATGAGGAGGCAAGAGTGAAGTGGATACTCAGGCCAGGGGAAGGGTGACCCGTGAAATGACTTGCTTAAGGCCAGGAGCGGTAGCTCATGCCTGTAATCTCAGTGCTTTGGGAGGCTGAGGCAGGAGGATCACTGGAGCCCAGGAGTTTGAGATCAGCCTGGGCAACATAGCAAGACCCCATCTCTCCAAAAAATACAAAATAAATAGCTGGGCATAGTAACGCACGCCTGTAGTCCTAGCTACGCAAAAGGCTGAGGCAGGAGGATCACTTTAGCCAGAAGTTGAGGCTGCAGTGAGCAATGATTGCGCCACTGCACTTCAGCCTGGGCTGTTAGCAAGACCCTGTCTCTAAAAAAGAAAGAAAGTACCAGCTTGTATTAGGAACGTAGTAGGTGCTTCAAAAGTGTTTGGTGTGGGGCCAGATGCGGTAGCTCATGCCTGTAATCCCAGCACTTTGGGAGGCTGAGGCGGGTGGATCACCTGAGGTCAGGAGTTCGAGACCAGCCTGACCAACATGGTGTCTCTACTAAAAATACAAAAAATGAGCTGGGCTTGGCAGTGCACACCTGTAATCCCAGCTACTCGGGAGGCTGAGGCAGGGAGAATCGCTTGAACCTAGTCGGCAGAGGTTGCAGTGAGCCAGGATTGTGCCACTGCACTCCAGTTTGGGCAACAGAGCAAGACTCCGTTGGGGGGGAAAAAAGTATTTGGTGAATGAATGAATGAAAACGTGGAGCTGGGGTGGAAGTGAATGACTGAAATGGCACAAGTCTGGAAAAATAGAGCAAGTAACCTGGGCATGAGCCTGGATTCTGTTGCTTGGCTGTTGGCAGAGCCGTGAGCTTCTGGGGTGTGTCTTGTTTATGGCGCTGGTAAATGGAGGGCGTGCTGAGCTCCTCCCTGGAAGAAGGGACACACCTGTGCTCACCTGTGCAACCACTTGCCCGCCAAGAGACAACCTCAAGCTTGGGCACTTCCTTTAGCCATTTGTATATTCACTATGCAGAAAGCACTTAGTGTGTGCCCAGCTCCATTGAGGTCGCAGTGGCAAGGCAGAAAACGAAACCCCTACTCTTTTTTAGACAGTCTCGCTCTGTCGCCCAGGCTGGAGTGTAGTGGTGTAATCACAGCTCACTGCATCTTCGAACTCCTGGGCTCAAGCAATCCACCCGCCTCAGCCTGCCAAGTAGCTGGGACTACAGGCGTGCTCCACCACGCCCAACTAATTTTTTGTATTTTTATAGAGATGGCTTCTTACTGTGTTGCCCAGGCTAGTCTTGAACTCCTGGGCTCAAGCATTCTCCAACTGCTGTGGCCTTCCACAGTGCTGGGATGACAGGCATGAGCCGCTGCACCTGGCCAAAACCCCTGTTCTTCTGCAGCTTCCTTTCTAGACAGTGAGCACACGTAGAGATGAGTGTGGATGTAGTGTCAGGTGGTGACCAGTGGATGACTGACACAGCAGAGGAGGGAATGAGGGATGGAGGAGGCTGTGTTAGGTTGCCAAGGTGCTATTTGAGCAAATATCTGAAAGGAGGGAGTGAGGGAGGGAGAGAGGAAGGAAGGAAAGATGGGCGGATGCGTGGGTGGGTGGGTGGATGGATGGATGGATGGATGGATGGATGTTTGTGGATTTCTGGGAGAAAGGAATCTGAGCAGACTGAAGAGCAAGTACAAAGGCATTGAACTGAGTGTATGCTCCTGGCAGGTAGGGGAAGCACCAAGGGGGCGGCAGGGGTGGGAGGAGCACACAGAGGCATGAAGGGGGCAGATGAGGTCAGAGGTGATGAAGTCCCATAGGTAGGACTTTGGCTGTCACCAAATCAGATGGGAGCCACTGGACATTTTTTATTTTATTTTTTTAGAGACAGGGTCTCACTCTGTTGCCCAGGCTGGAGTGCAGTGACACGATCTTGGCTCACTGCAGCTTCAGACTCCTCGGCTCAAGTGATTCTCCTGCCTCAGCCTCCTGAGTAGCTGGGACTACAGATGTGCACCACAATATTTTACTTTTCTGCAGAGATGGGGTCTTGCTATGTTGTCTAGGCTGGTTTTTTTTTTTTTTTTTTGAGACGGAGTCTGGCTCTGACACCCAGGCTGGAGTACAGTGGCGCGATCTCGGCTCACTGCAAGCTCCACCTCCCAGGTTCACGCCATTCTCCTGCCTCAACCTCCTGAGTAGCTGGGACTACAGGCGCCTGCCACCACGCCCGGCTGTTTTTTTTTTTTTTTTTTTGTATTTTTAGTAGACACGGGGTTTAACCGCGTTAGCCAGGATGGTCTCGATCTCCTGACCTCGTGATCCGCCCGCCTCGGCCTCCCAAAGTGCTGGGATTACAGGCATGAGCCACCGTGCCTGGCCCCAGGCTGGTCTTGAACTCCTGGGCTCAAGCCATCTGCCCACCTCAGCCTCCCGGAGTGCTAGAATTACAGGCATGAGGCACCGCACCCAGCCCAGCCAATTTCCTAACAGAAAAGTGACATGATTTTGACATTTCTGCAGGACCCCTGTGGCCGCTACACGGCCAGAGTGGAGTGGGGATGGTGGAAGGTGATGGTGATCGCGGCCCCCGGGTCCTGTGCGTGCAGCAGCCTGTCTCACACTCAGTCTTGCCATTTGATTGTCTTTCCAGCGGAAGCCCTGGGCCTGGACCACATGGTCCCCGTGCCCTACCGGAAGATTGCCTGCGACCCGGAGGCTGTGGAGATTGTGGGCATCCCGGACAAGATCCCCTTCAAGCGCCCCTGCACTTACGGAGTCCCCAAGCTGAAGCGGATCCTGGAGGAGCGTCATAGCATCCACTTCATCATTAAGAGGTGCGGGTGGGGCCGGGCGCGGTGGCTCACGCCTGTAATCCCAGCACTTTGGAAGGCCGAGGCGGGCGGATCACGAGGTCAGGAGTTCGAGACCAGCCTGGTCAACATGGTGAAACCCCGTCTCTACTAAAAATACAAAAAACTAGCCGGGCGAGGTGGCGGGCGCCTGTAGTCCCAGCTACTCGGGAGGCTGAGGCAGGAGAATGGCGTGAACCCGGGAGGCGGAGCTTGCAGTGAGCCGAGATAGCGCCATTGCACTCCAGCCTGGGCAGCAGAGTAAGACTCTGTCTCAAAAAAAATTAAAATTTAAATCTAAAAAAAAAAAGGGAAAAGGGACAATGATGGCCCCCCCCACCCAAGTTTTCCTAACATAAAATGAAAAAGTAGATGAAACACACCTGACATGTAGCAGATGATTAATAAGCATAAGGTGCTTTTTCATTGACCTCATTTCCCTCATGAATTAAAACATCATTAAGTGCATCAGTGCACGTGAAAACATTTCCGACCTGGGCGTCCTTGGGCAAGTTACTTAACCACTCTGTGCCTCATTTACATAAAACAGGCCTGATACCAGCCGAGGCAACATGGCGAGACTCTGTCTCTGAAAAATATTTTAAAAATTAACCAGGCATGGTGGCAGGTGCCTGCAGTCCCAGTTACTGTAATCCCAGTTCTTTGGGAGACCGAGGCAGGCGAATTACCTGAGGTCAGGAGTTCGAGACCCGCCTGGCCAACATGGTGGAACCCTGTCTCTACTAAAAATACAAAAATTAGCCGGGTGTGGTTGCACACGCCTGTAATCCCAGCTACTCAGAAGGCTGAGGGAAGAGAATCCCTTGAACCCGGGAGGTGGAGGTTCAAGGGGGACCTAGCAGGAAATTAGAACACAGGCAAAAACGCCAGTCATGGGAGGCAGAGCCAGGGGTGCGAGGCTGACGATGACTTCTGTTTTCACACTGAGACGCCCCACTCCCCTGCTGAGATCACGCCACTGCACGCCAGCCTGGGCGACAGGGCAAGACTCCATCTAAAAAAAGAAATTAATTAATTTATTTAATTAAAGTACAACAATTAGCAGGGCATGGTGGCGCACGTCTGTAGTCCCAGCTACTCAGGAGTCTGAGGCAGGAGAATCGCTTGTACCCTGGAGGCGGAGGTTGCCGTGAGCCGAGATCGCACCACTGCACTCCAGCCTGGGTGACAAAGTGAGACTCTGTCTCCAAAAATAAGAATATAAGTAAACGGTTTGGGATGTTTTGAGACTCCGACATGCCCTCTCCTGCCTGCATGTGTGCTCAGTGCCCAGGTCTGAAGCTGTAGCTGTGCATGTGCCATTCAGTGACCACCACCGAAGGGGACCTGGGGCATCTCCCCAAGCCCCGGGAGAGCCCTCCAGCCTGCACCGTTCTCATGCCTGTCTCTCTTCTCTCCCCAGAATGTTTGATGAGCGAATTTTCACAGGTATGTGGGGACCATCTAGTCCATTCTGAAGTTTCCAGGTTGATTCCCCAACAGAACCCCAGCTGCCACCGCCCTGGACTTGGTCCTCCTGAGCGCCTCCCCTCAGACAGGGAGGGAGGCTGGGCTCTGGCTTCTGTGTCCTGGGACAGAAACGGGTCCCGGGCTCCTAGGTGCTGACAGACTGTCAGGAAAACCCCTACCAGCTTCGAATGCCCTGGAGAGATAGTACTAAAGCTGAACACTAACCTGTTTCAGGTTAGTGACCCTGTACCTATACCAGGCTCTCTTCGAAGCTGCCAGCATGTTTTATTTTAGTCTGATTCCAACAATCCTATGAAGGTGGCTCCACTCCTATCCTCACGTGCAGACAGAGGAACGGAAGCCCAGCTGGTGGGCACGGGTCCCTGCTGCTTGCCCAGCAGTGTGACTCCAGAGCTCATGCAGTGGCCCGTGGGCCAGCACACCTGTCCCAAGAGGAAGATGCGGGGCAGCAAAAGCATCATGGATCTTGGGGGGCCACGTACCTGGCACCCCAGTTCTGGTCCCGCCTCCCACCAGCTCTGTGACTTTGGGCAAGATCTTATGGTCTTCGGTTTCCACATCTGTGACATGGGGATGATAATAGCGCCTTCCTCTGGGCTCCTGGCACGATGAAATGAGAACCTGGTCCCGTGATGCAGCCGTGGGGAAGCCCTGGCCCTTTTCTAAGGGCTCAGCCCCCATAGTATGTTGGAGGGCAGGAGAACCATCTCTGGTTGCTGCCTCCCCTTCCTCCTGCCCCTTGCTCTCCCAAATCTCTGGCCGCCTCTGGCACTAAGGCTGCTGTTCCTCCTTCTGGCGGCAGAGTCTCTCCCCAGGACCCGTTCCTGGCTGTTGGCTGCACATGGCACCCACAAGGATGGGCAGAGGCCAGGTCCTATCCCCGGGACTCCCCCAGCTTCACACGGAGACCTTTGCCCAGGGGCCCTGCAGCAAGAGGAGGCCAGAGGACCTTCACCCTGACCTCCCTGTCTCTCCCCACAGGGAACAAGTTTACCAAAGACACCACGAAGCTGGAGCCAGCCAGCCCGCCAGAGGACACCTCTGCAGAGGTCTCTAGGGCCACCGTCCTTGACCTTGCTGGAAATGCTCGGTGAGGCCCCGCCCCGGCCCCGGAGGCCCGCAGCCAGCCCTGCTCTGGGCTGAGGCTGTGTTACCTGCAAGAGGGGACCCAGGGCGGCTCCCACCACACCACCACCCCTCGAAGGTGCAAAGGGAGGGCAAGGGAAAACAGACTCCACCTACTTCCCTCTGCCTAGAGAACGCTCACCTAGAGAACTCTTCTGCCCCCAACATCTAGCCAGATGTCACCTCTCTCAGAAGCCTCTAAATGCCCACACTAGGCCAGGCGCGGTGGCTCACAGCTGCAATCCCAGCACTTTGGTAGGCCAAGGCAGGCGGATCTCTTGAGGCAGGAGTTCAAGACCAGCCTGGGCAACATGGTGAAACCCCATCTCTACTAAAAACACAACATTAGCCGGGTGAGATTGCACTACTGTACTCCAGCCTGGGTGACAGAGCTAGACTCTGTCTCAAAATAAATACACACCCACGCCAGGCCGGGCTTGGTGGCTCACTCCTGTAATCCCAGTGCTCTGGGAGGCCAAGGTGGGTGGATCTCTTGATCCCAGGAGTTTGAGACCAGCCTGGGCAACATAGTGAGACCCTTGTCTCTACAAAAAATAAAAAGTAAGCTGGGTGTGGTAGCTGGTACCTGTGGTCCCAGCTACTTGGGAGGCTGAGGTGGGAGGATTGCTTGAGTCTGGGAGGTCAAGGCTGCAGTGAACTCTGATCACACCACTGCACTCCACTCCAGCCTGGGCAACAGAGTAAGACCTTGTTTCAAAAATACAAACATGCAGCTGGGCATGATGGCTTACGCCTGTAATCCTAGCACTTTGGGAGGCTGAGCCAGGCAGATCACCTGAGGTCAGGAGTTCGAAACCAACCTGGCCAACATGGCGAAACCCTGTCTCTACTAAAAATACAAAAATAATTAGCCAGGTATGGTGGTGCATGCCTGTAGTCCCAGCCACTCGGGAGGTTGAGGCAGGAGAATTGCTTAAATCCTGGAAGCAGAAGTTGCAGTGAGCCAAGATTGTGCCATTGCACTGCAGCCTGGGCAACAGAGCAAGACTTCATCTCAAAAAAACACATGGATGCATATATACATATACATACATACATACCAACACCAGGTTCAATGCCTGTCCTGAGTGCCCACCAGACCCTGCCCCTAGCACTCAGCTTGGCTACCATCCACCAACACCCCTCAAGCACGTTCTGACCTTTTAGGGGCAGGGGTGGGCTGTTTAGCCCAGAATCCTCACATCATATCAGGGATCTCCCTGCAGTTCTCTGGGAGGGAGGGAATTAACCAAATCATCCATCCCAGGGTCCCTGCCACCTTCATTCCCCAGCCCCCTCCCCAGATTCTTAACCCTTTCCAGGCCCTGCAGGTCTCAGTCCCCCACAAGCAGGGACACTGTGTCAAGGCCAGGAGCCCCAGAGCTCCCAGATGGTGAGGAAGGGGGATCCCTAGATGGTTCACCCCAGGAGAGTGAGCAGGTGCCTGGCTCGGCCACCCCTGGAGATTGTGGTCCCTGGAGACAGGGCACGGGGAACCTCTCTCCCTGGTGGAGGTGAGGGGCACCATCCTGGAGGGCCAGGGGGTGACGGAGCAGGGATGCCTTCTGCAGTGGTGACTGTGGTGGGCCCCAACTGCCTGGAGGGGCAAGGCTGGGGCACGGTGGCCCTGGACTTGGCTGACAGATGTCATTTCCTGCTTCCCTTCACAGGTCAGACAAGGGCAGCATGTCTGAAGACTGCGGGCCAGGTGAGAAGGAACAGGGCCCACTGTGTGTGTCATGGGCTGGGAGGGCAACCACCAGCCCTACCCGGCAGCCTTGGGGAGGAGCTCAACTCAGCCCATGAGCCTGGAGTGCTAACGAGCCTCCTCTGCCCACCTGCATCCCCCAGGCCTCGCCACGCTGAGGTGCAAGGCATGCTGGGAGCTTACTGGGGTTGGGGGCATGGAGACCTGGGTGCTGGCATCACCACTGCCTCCTATTGATGCCCAGACTCAGGCTCCAGGCTCTTGGACCAGCAACCTCCCCTCTGGAGGGGCCTCCATCACCGGGTCTGTAAATTGGAGCCCCTAAGTGTGGCCTGGGGGCGCCCCAACCTCCAGTTCCAGTCTGGGCAGGAGCCAGGGGTCTGACGTGACTTGTCCTAGGTAGGGCCTCACTAACAAGTTACAGACAGCAGAATGTTCTGGAAAGACTCACTCTGCCCAGTCAAGTTCATGCCAGACTTGAATGGATCTTTCCTTTCCTCCTTGCAGGAACCTCCGGGGAGCTGGGCGGGCTGAGGCCTATCAAAATTGAGCCAGAGGATCTGGACATCATTCAGGTCACCATCCCAGGTAAGGGACGGGTGTCTGACCACCCCCTGCAGAAATGAGGGCCGGACCGTTAGCCTCCCGAGGGTCAGCCCTGGTGAAGAAGAGGCCTCCAGGCCGCTGTTTCTCTCCTTGGATTCTGAGAGCTACTAGGGTATTGTGAATGCTTTTTCTGGCCACATCTGCCCCCTATGTTGTGAATCAGTGTTCTCAGCTCTGACCTTCCAGAAGGTCCCCTCAAACTTCACCTCCCTGGCTTGGCTCCCCTGGGATTTGTGAGGCTGGAGAGAAGAAAAAGGCATGGGCGTGAGAGGCTCCGAGTTTGACCCTACCCCCTGCCAAGCCTCATTTTCCACATCTTCAGAGGAGACGGTAGTTTTGGGCCCTGGAGCCTCAGTATGGGGTGACTGTTAGAAGCCAAGACAGTGCCGGGCACAGTGGCTCATGCTTGTAATCCCGGCATTTTGGGTGGCTGACACAAGAGGATTGCTTGAGGCCAGGAGTTCAAGACCAGCCTGGGCAACATAGTGAGACCCCCATCTCTACGAAAAATACAAAAAATTAGCCAGATATGGTGGTATGTGCCTGTAGGTGTAGCTACTCAGGAGGCTGAGGCAGGAGGATCACTTGAGGCCAAGAGTTGGAGGCTGCAGTGAGCTGTGGTCACACCACTGTGGTCCAGCCTGGGCAACACAGTGAGACCCTATCTCAAAAAAAAGAAATGGCCAGGCAAGGTGACTCACACTTGTAATCCCAGCACTTTGGGAGGCCGAGGTGGGCGGATCACCTGAGGTCAGGAGTTAGAGACCAGCCTGGCCAACATGGTGAAATCCCATCTCTACTAAAAATACAAAAATTAGCCAAGTGTGGTGGCTCACACCTGTAGTCCCAGCTACTCGGGAGGCTGAGGCAGGAGAATCACTTGAACCCAGGAGGGGGAGGTTACAGTGAGCTGAGATGGCACCACTGCACTCCAGTCTGCACGACAGAGTGAGACTCCATCTCGAACAAAAAAAAAAAAAAGAGAGAGAGAGAAAGAAAAGGACTCTTGTTTGTGGGGAGACTGGGTTGGGTGGTCCCCGAGGGACTGTGACAGGAGTATGACAGGCGGAAGACACCCGTGTCATTTGGAGTTTCGTCTTCAGACCCCTCGCCAACCTCTGAGGAAATGACAGACTCAATGCCTGGGCACCTGCCATCAGAGGATTCTGGTTATGGGATGGAGATGCTGACAGGTAAGAAATGGACCTGGGCTGGTGGTGCTTGGGACTTATCTCTCCAGGGAGCAAAGGGACAGGGGTGGGCCAGGCAGTCCCCAGGCTTTTCTTGGTGTTGAACGCCTCTAGTAGAGGAAACCCAATATACGCCTGACCCCAGTCCGAGGTTGGGTTCCTTTTGGAAACCTCAAGTAGGCTCTATGTATTTATTTATTTATTTAGAGATGGAGTTTCACTCTTGTTGCCCAGGCTGGAGTGCAGTGGCGCGATCTCGGCTCACCGCAACCTCTGCCTCCCGGGTTCAAGCAATTCTCCTGCCTCAGCCTCCTGAGTAGCTGGGATTATGGGCATGTGCCACCACGCCCGGCTAATTTTGTATTTTTAGTAGAGGCGGGCTTTCGCCATGTTGGTCAGGCTAGTCTTGAACTCCCGATCTCAGGTGATCCACCTGCCTCGGCCTCCCAAAGTGCTGGAATTGCAGGCATGAGCCACCGTGCCCAGCCATAGGCTCCATTTGTAACAAGGCCCAGCATCCTTCCCAGGAGCCACCTGTTGGGATTAATTTGTCCATTTATTCCAACAACTATTTATTGAGCATCTGTTGTGTACCAGGTCCTGTGTAAGGGGCTGGAGACAAAGCAGTGAAGCAAGCAGAAATCCCCACCTCCTGGGGTGCACATCCTCATGTGAAGAGATAGATGGATAGTAAACAAATAAGTAAAATAGGCAGGCTAAGGTGGCTCGTGCCTGTAATCCCAGCACTTTGGGAAGCCAAGGCTAGGGGATTACTTGAGGCAGGAGTTCGCGATCACCCTGGGCAACACAGAGAGACCCATCTCTTATATTTTTTGAGATGGAGCCTCACTCTGTCACCCAGGCTGGAGTGCAGTGGTGCAGTCTCGGCTCACTGCAACCTCCGCCTCCTGGGTTCAAGCAGTTCTCCTGCCTCAACCTGAGTAGTTGGGATTGCGGGCACCTGCCACCACGCCTGGCTAATTTTTTTGTATTTTTAGTAGAGAGGGGGTTTCACCACGATGGCCAGGCAAGTCTCAAACTCCTGACCTCAAATGATCCTCCTGCCTCGGCCTCCCAAAGTGCTGAGATTACAGGCGTGAGCCACCACGCCCTGCCTCAACAAATATTTATTGAGTACCTGCTGTGTAGTAGGTCCTGCGTAAGGGGCTGGGGAGAAAGCAGTGGACCAAACAGGTGTCCCCACCTGATGGGGTACACATCCTCGTGTGGAGAGATAAACAGTAAGCAAATAAGTAAAATAGGCAGGGTGAGGGGGCTGACGCCTGTAATTCCAGCACTTTGGGAGGCCAAGGTGAGGGGCCTGCTTGAGGCCAGGAGTTCGAGACCAGCCTGCGCAACATAGCAAGACCCCATCTCTATAAGGTTTTTTTTTTTTTTAATTGACTGACACAGTGGCTCACACCTATAATCTCAATACTTTGGGAGGCCAAGTCAGGAGAATTGCCTCAGCCCAGGAGCTTGAGACCAGCCTGGGCAACATGGTGAAACCTTATCTCTATAAAAAATACATAGATTAGTTGGGCCTGGTGGTGCGTGTCTGTAGTCCTAGCTACTTGGGAGGCTGGGGTGGGAGGATTGATTGAGCCCAGGAGGTTGAGGCTGTGGTGAGCCGTGATGGTGCCACTGAGCAAGACCCTGTCTTAAAATAAATAAAGAGGTCAGGCGCATTGGCTCACACCTGTAATTCACCACTTTGGGAGACTGAGGCGGGCAGATCACTTGAGGTTAGGAGTTCAAAACCAGCCTGGCCAGCATGGTGAAACCCTGTCTCCACTAAAAATACAAAAATTAGCTGGGTGTGGTGGCACGTGCCTGTAGTCCCAGCTACTGAGGAGGCTGAGGCAGGAGAATTACTTGAACCCAGGAAGCAGAGGTTGCAGTGAGCCAAGATTTTGCCATTGCACTCCAGCTGGGGTGACAGAGCGAAACTCTGCCTCAAAATAAATAAATAAATAGATAGATACATAGATAGATACAAATTTAGACAGGCGTGGTGGGACCTGTGTATAGTCCCATCTACTCAGGAGGCCGAGGCAAGAGGATCCATTGAGCCCAGGAGTTAGAGCCTGCAGTGGGCTGTGATGGTACCACTGCACTCCAGTCTGGGTGCCACAGCAAGATACCATCTCAAAAAAACAAAAATAGGCCGGGCATGAAGACTGAGGACTGCATAATCCCAGCACTTTGGGAGGCCAAGGCGGGCAGATCGCCTGAGGCCAGGAGTTCAAGATCAGCCTGGCCAACCTAGTGAAACCCCATCTCTGCTAAAAAGACCAAACAAACTAGCTGGGCATGGTGGCAGGCACCTGCAGTCCCAGCTACTTGGGACGCTGAGGCAGGAAAACCTCTTGAACCTTGGTAGGTGGAGTTTGCAGCTGAGATCACACCACTGCAGTATAGCCTGGGCAACAGAGTGAAACTCTCTCTCAAAAACAAACAAACAAAAATGGGCCACAAGGAAGGATGCTTAGGGTGTAACACTAAGCAAAAGAAGAAAAATTGGTTGTGCTTAGCTTATAACTGTGTTGCCATCGTAATCACTGGGGAAAAACAAGGGTACAGCAAAACAGTAGCAGTGTTAGGCAAAATGATTTGTGTTTTTTATTTTCTAAGTCAGTTACGATGCACTTTTAATACTTTGGTAATGAAGAAAAAAACATCTGATTTGTCCAGCACAAACTGGGCATGACTAGACTTGACAGCAGTCTGTGGCGTAGCTAGCCAGAGAGTTTGGTTGACGCCAAGCTCAGGCTGAGATGACAGCATGGCGTGGCAGCTAAGGAATTGGCATGGCGCCCAGCTGGGTTTGAAGTGGCGTTAGAAAACCCCGTGGAAGCCTCCAGGCAGCACTCTCAGCCAGAGGCTGAGTGGCACTGCAGGGGCTGGGGGCCTTGGATGAGCACAGCATCATTGCTGTTTGTTTCACGGAGCAGAACACAGGCTCAGCAAGGCTCATCTACCTTCCCAAGGTCACACAGCCTTGAGCTGGAAAACATGTTTCCCATGCAGGGCTCCTTCCTAGGCACCCCAATCAAACCTGATGAATTAAGAAAATTCTGACTGGGCACGGTAGCTCATGCCTATAATCCCAGCACTTTGGGAGGCCAAGGCGGGTGGATCACCTGAGATCAGGAGTTCGAGACCAGCCTGGCCAACATGGCAAAACTCTGTCTCCACTAAAAATACAAAATTAACTGGGCTTGGTCGTGTGCACCTGTTATCCCAGCTATTTGGGAGACTGAGGCAGGAGATTCACTTGAACCCAGGAGGCAGAGGTTGCAGTGAGCCAAGATCGCACCTTTGCACTTCAGCCTGGGTGACAAGAGCGAAACTGTCTAGAAAAAGAAAATTCTGATAGTGGGTGCCTGTAATCCCAGCTACTTGGGAGGCTGAGGCAGGAGAATCGCTTGAATCTGGGAGGTGGAGGTTGCAGTGAGCTGAGACTGAACCACTACACTCCAGCCTGGGTGACAGAGCAAGACTGTCTCAAGAAGAACAAAACAACAACAAAAAAGAACATTCTGAGATGTCCAGGACCACCATAGATTAAAGGATTTTGCATGTGTGTGCTTTTTCTGTTTGCACATGTATGATATGAAACAGTTAAATGATATAGAACTGTGTAACACATTGAGCAGGTGCAGTGGCTCATATCTATAATCCTAGCACTTTGGGAGGCCAAAGTGGGAGGATTGTTTGAGCCCAGGAGTTTGAGACCAGCTTGGGCAACATGGCGAAACCCTGTCTTTACAAAAAATTTTAAAAAGTAGCCAGCCGTGGTGGTGCATACCTCTACTCGCAGCTACTGAGAAGACTGAGGCAGGTGGATTGCTTGATCCCAGGAGTTTACAACCAGCCTGGGCAGCGTGGCAAGACCCCATCTCTACAAAAAATAAAACAATTAGCTGGATGTGGTGGTACCTACCTGTAGTCCCAGCTACTCGGGAGGCTGAGGCGGGAGGATTGCGTGAGCCCAAGAGGTTGAGGCTGTAGTGAGCTGTGATGGCACCACTGCACTCCAGCCTGGGCAATAGAGCAAGACCCCATCTCTTAAAACAAAAAACCATGTAACACATAAAGGAAAAAGCTCTAATCACACCCTCCTCAGGCAACCACTAGTATTCCTAGTATCTACCCTTTGTATGTTTTTATCTATGTGCTAACTCGTGTGGTGACTATTTTAAAACAAATTGTCCCGTGTTCTCACCTGGATGGTTTTTTTTGTTTTGTTTTGTTTTGTTTTTTTGAGACGGAGTCTCACTCTGTTGCCCAGGCTGGAGTGCAGTGTCATGACCTCCGCCTCCCAGGTTCAGATGATTCTCCTGCCTCAGGCTCCTGAGTAGCTGGGATTACAGGCATACACCACCATGCCCAGCCAATTTTTGTATTTTTAGTAGAAACAGGGTTTCCCCATGTTGGCCAAGCTGGTCTCAAACTCCTGGCCTCAAGTGATCCACACACCTCGGCCTCCCAAAGTGCTGGGATTACAGGCGTGAGCCACTGCACCCGGCCGAGGACTTTGTCTTGTTCCCACGTGTCCTCCGTATCTAGAGCAGACTAGCTTGGGAGATGCACACAAAATGATCTCAGCCTGCTTTCGTGTGAAGGTCATGGTGAGCACCTGTATGGAATTGGGGTCTCTGATCTCATTGGAGTGGGTGCCATGCTTCAAAGTTGGGGCCCCCTGGCCTGCCATTCCCCAGCTCTCTGGTCTGACATCAGCAGTGCGTGGCTTAGGAGATGATGAACGTGGCTTCCCGGCATCCTCTGTTCTCTTTTAGACAAAGGCCTGAGCGAGGACCCACGGCCTGAGGAGAGGCCCGTAGAGGGTGAGGCCCTGTCTACTCCCACATTTCACTCCCGCCCCCACCCCATCTCTCCTCCCCTGCCGTCCACCTCCCTTTGGCCTCTCGGTCTCTTCCTTCTCTCCACCCCATCTTTCTCCAGCACCCTGGTTTTGGAGTGGGAGTCCTGTGGGCTACCTGAGGTGGGAGGAGATTTAATTAAGGACCTGTCTTCTAGAACCAGGAGGTACCTGGTCAAAGGTGCAAGCAGTTCCCACTGCTAAGGGAAATTGCAAACCTTTGTTTTTATTACACACCCTGCTGCTTTCCACAAAAGTTTTAAGGCTGGGAACTGAGCCTCCTCTATCTGGACAAGTAGAATAGAGGCCTGAAAGCACAAAATTGGCTTTGTGTCCAGCAGACACACCCATTCTCAGGAACGTGAGAATTCTCTCCCTGCTGAGAATGGAAGTAGGACAGAGAGAGAGGGAGGCCAAGGTGAGGGTGAGTCTGTTTCACCTCTGGAGTACCCTGGAATGGAATGAGTGAGTGTCAGAGGAGAGGTTTGTCACTTCCCCAAACCCAGCCTGGCAAGAGGAACGAGGAAGTCTTAACACAGTTCCACTGCCACCTGGTGGCAGCGTGCTCAATTTGCAGGCTTAGTGTGTACCCACTAGTTCTCAGTCACATACTATACTCAGTCACATACCTAGAAAGACCCATCGTCACTCCTAGTCCACAGAACCTTCCAAATCTTCGTTCAACCTGGCAGTTCCCTAGATTTGATTTCACAAACAAGAACGTGAGCCCAGGAATTGAGAACCTGTCTGCGTGTGCCATTTCTGAGGAAATAAGTTACCCACTGCCACCGCCCCAGCCTTCCCCCATTCCAAGATCCCACCACAGGGCCAATCTTGGTACCAGCAGAGCAGGAACATGAGCCGAGAAGCTGCCACCAAAGAGCCTCAACAGACTGCCTTTTGCCTTCCAGACAGCCACGGTGATGTGATCCGGCCCCTGCGGAAGCAGGTGGAGCTGCTCTTCAACACACGATATGGTGAGCAAGAAGTGGGACAGGGTTGGGGGCATCCCGGCCCGCCTCCAGCTGCCCTGTTTGCAGAAGGGCTTTGGACCTATCCCCTTGCCTCTTCCCATCCCAGCTGCTCTCTGGGCAGGGACAAGGGAGGGAGGGAAGAGAGGAGCTGGGACCCACCTTAAAAAAAAAAAAGAAGAAGATAAGATAACATCAGTGGTGTGCCTGGAATGAGGCTAGGTGCTTCCCCATGTTCCTTTTTTTTTTTTTTTTTTTGAGATGGAGTCTCACTGTGTCACCCAGGCACAATGTCAGCTTACTGCAACCTCCACCTCCCAGGTTCAAGCGATTCTCCTGCCTTACCCTCCCCAGTAGCTGGGATTATAGGTGCCTGCCACCACGCCTGGCTAATTTTTGGTTTTTTTGGATTGTTTTTTTTTTTTGAGACGGAGTCTCGCTCTGTCGCCCAGGCTGGAGTGCAGTGGCACCATCTCAGCTCACTGCAAGCTCTGCCTCGCGGGTTCATGCCGTTCTCCTGCTTCAGCCTCCCGAGTAGCTGGGACTACAGGCGCCCACCACCTCACCCGGCTAGTTCTTTTGTATTTTTCAGTAGAGACGGGGTTTCACCGTGTTAGCCAGGATGGTCTTGATCTCCTGACCTTGTGATCCGTCCGTCTCGGCCTCACAAAATGCTGGGATTACAGGCTCGAGCCACCGCGCCCGGCCAATTTTTGTATTTTTAATAGAGACAAGGTTTCACCATGCTGGCCAGGCTGGTCTCAAACTCCTGACCTCATCTGTGCTTCAGGGTGGGATCCCACCCGCTTGGCCTCCAACTGGGATTACAGGCGTGAGCGCCACCTGT